CTTTGGTGAAAACGTCTGCTGTGATGTCAGATTCCTCTTCAACTCCTCTACCTTCTGTAGCTTCTGCTCTTCATTCACGTTTTTCAGCTTGTCCTGATGTTTTGTCTCGTAGTGCCGTCTTAGGTTATATTCCTTAATTACAGCCACATTAGCTCCACAAATAAGACACACAGGTTTACCGACAATGTCAGTAAACATATACTCAGCCTCCCACCGGTTTAGAAAGGCTCTGTTTTCAGAATCAACTTTCCTCTTGGCCATTGTTAGGGGCTAGCTTTGACTTGAAATTAGGGTTGTATACATCAACAGACGCTTGATTGATCTGACATAATTGAAGCGGGAATGATCGCAGGTAGCCTATCATTCGGTAAGGCAGCTGTTGCGCTGCATTATGGGATTTGTAGTTTGTGTGTTACCGGCGCTTCATATCACCAGGCCATTAAAAAAAGATATATAAAATGATCTTGCAGGCCGGATGTGGCCCACAGGCCTTGAGTTTGACACATGTGAACTAAACGAAACACATTGGTTTCTTCATCTTCCTCCTGCCTGATACCAACGTCTCACCCAGCTGCAATACTTCCTCATAGGAAAGCAGGTTTTCAGGTTCCATGTCTTCCCTCTTATTTTTATTTATTTGGTGTATTTTGTGTTTTTCACACATGTTCATGAAGCTGGTCTGATGCAATATCTATGATGTTCACATACAGGGTGGGTGAAAAGAAACTAGGCATTAAAAACTGGTCATAGAACTTGTAGCATCACTGGAGTCATGATGAAAACAGTCTCTAACTAGATAGATTTCATGAGATATGATTTCATTTCATATGAATTCGATTGATATTTGAATGATTGAATTTGATTCATATGAAATCCTATTTACCATCATCCTACTATAACAGTAGGGGGCGGTTTTCATGTAAAGCATGTCGTTGTGACCTGCAGCTGCTGGACAGAGACGACAGTCACCAAGACGACCCCAAATCTCTGAGTGCCAGGAGCCCGCTGCATCTTGCTGTGAGTCTCACCAGCATCAGAACAACACTTTTCAATATGTGAACACTGGCCCACCGTCATTTTTTATTCCCGCTGTGCCCTGTGCTCAGCAGCAGAGGTTCCATATTACATTCTAGCATTTTAAGATGATTTTTTTTTTTTTTTTGTCGATGTGAAGGCTAAAAAGATTTGTTATATGTCATAGATGACTTGTCCTCTGAAATCAGTTTGAACAGTAACAGGTGACTAAAGAGAGGATGTTCAGTCAGTTTGCTGTGTTGACACCAGGGTGTGTGTCTGTGCAGGCGTACCACGGTCACGCCCAGGCGCTGGAGGTGCTGCTGCAGGGGGGGCAGGAGGTGGACCAGTGGGACGAGGCGGGGAGGAGCCCCCTGGCCCTGGCCGCTCTGCGGGGACACAGCGACTGTGTTCACACCCTCCTCAGCCAGGGGGCGTCACCACGCACCACCGACACCCAGCATGGACGCACCCCTGTGCACCTGGCAGGTGATCATGTTTACTGATTAGGTCACAACTTGTTCACATGGTTTCTGGTGATCTAACTGAGCTGTCATGTCACCTGACTGCCTGCTAATCACATGTGTGACTCCTCTCTGGCTTCCTGCAGTGATGAACGGCCATACGACGTGCGTGCGCCTCCTGCTGGATGAATCTGACAGTGCAGACCTCGTAGATGCTGCTGACTCTCAGGGACAGTGAGTGATCCACCTGTGATCCGTTCCCTTCTGTTAACAGCTCCTGTCTTTTCTTTCACAAATGTATTAAACACCTCGTCCTCCTCTGCAGGACTCCTCTGATGCTGGCGGTGGCAGGAGGTCACGTTGACGCAGTGTCACTGCTGTTAGAGAGGGAGGCCAACGTCAACATGGCCGATAAACACGGCCTCACTGCGCTGCACCTCGGGGTGAGCGGTGAACTCTGTGCTGTGTGTTGTGTCTCTGTGGCCCTTCCTCTGTCCACCAGGGTTTAAAGTTGTCAGCTTCGTACCATGAGCGATGGATCCTATACGAAGTCCAAACAGTTCTGGTAAAATTGGCTTGCTGATTAACGTAGTAATAATAGACTCTGCTCTTATCATTTAAAAAGACTGAAGTTCTACATGTTCTCACTCTTAATTACAGTCAGTTTGTTCCCTGCTGACACATGGACAGTGTCCATTTCATTTACTTTCCTACATTTTGTGATTTCTTCCATTTAAAGTGACTCTCTTTAAAGGAGGAGTTTGACATTCTGGGGAATACAAATGCTTTACTACCAAAAGTTAGATGATAACATTAAGACCGGTGAACTAATCTGATTCTGTAAGGCTGCAGCCAGTTAGCTTAGCTTAGCTGGAAACGGCTATCCTGGGTCTGGAAATCGGTCTGGATTTGTGGTTTGCATAAAAAAAAAAAATCTGATGTTAAACGTGCAATAACAGATTCTTTGGCCATTTGGGGGGAAACAAATAGTGAACACTGACATATCACCATATTTAAAGTTGGTATAGTGAACTTTCTAGCCAACAGCTGCTCATTAACACATCCAGTAGTTATGGAGCATCACAATCCTTCATGTAAAGCTGCCTCTCGTGATGAGCCACTGTGTTTGGTCTCCACCACCTCCTGATTGTATCCACTTAAATGTGCAGTAGACTGCACACGGTTTGTTAAGAAACCAACACTGTGGTTCACTGTGACCTAAAGGCCTTGGTCTTTGCCCCCCAGCTGCTGTGTGGTCAGGAGGAGTGTATCCAGTGTCTGTTGGAGCAGGAAGCTTCTGTTCTGCTCGGCGACTCTCGGGGGCGTACGGCCATCCACCTGGCCGCGGCCCGAGGCCACGCCTCTTGGCTGAGCGAGTTGCTGAGCATTGCCTGCTCAGACCCGGGGTCCCTGCCGCCACTTAGAGACCACAGCGGATACACACCGCTGCACTGGGCCTGCTACTACGGTTAGTGTCTCACACACACTCACTGATGCCCTCAGTCACCACTGATTGTTTTTATTTTTATAACCTGTGCTGTGATAGGTGGGACATTATGTCATCACGCTGCCGCCTGTTACCCTGTGACCGTGAGACTCTTGATATTTCTGCTATTGTTAAGTAATAGTAGAGTATGATGTTATATATGATGCAGGGGAGGATGGATGTAGTTTATTTCATCGTCATTGCTGTAATGATTAAAATAAACGGTACAAAACCAGTGATAACACACTTTAAATCAAAGTCATACATTTTTCCATCAGTGTGTGTTTGTGTTTTGGTGTCTGCAGGCCAGGAGGGGTGTGTAGAGGTCCTGCTGGAGCAGAAAGGTTGTCGCTGTATCGATGGGAACCTGTTCACCCCTCTGCACTGTGCTGTGTAAGTCACACATAGACAGTTATTAATTATCATTTTTACTGATTTTCACAGAAAGATATCCACGTTTGTGAAAGGACTGTAGGTTCAAAGTAAGATTGGTGTTTGTACGAATCAAATCTGAATCCTTTTAAATATCATTCAATTTAAGAACTTGTGAAGCTAGAAATACTACAGTTGTATTCACAGTTTACACTAGATTTTTATACTATTAAATCATTCCAATTATTGATTTTGATGCATAAAAAGCTGCATTTATTTAAGTTGGGATCAGCTGATCATTTCTCTAGAGTGGAGTCACTACAAAAACAGTTTGCTGTCTGTTGTAGAGAAATGTTTCAGAGTGATGGGTCTTTCCACTCAAACAATCTTTGAAGCGAGGACATTCACCAGCAGACTAAAGTTTCACTGGAGCTGCCGCCTGTGTGTTTTCTTTGTTGGTCTTTAAAAAATAGTGAGACAAAATGTTTGCTTCTGATCCTAAAGTGAGTTTAAACAGATTTGAATTCATGTTCCTACCAGTTGATTTATTAATTAGTTTTATTCCAAACTAATTCATCATTTAATCAGAAAAGTTGTGACAATCACAACTTTTGTTTGTTCTAAAATCCAGAGTGGTTGAATTCACTTGGTTGTTGTTTGTTTTTCAGTGTTTGCTGAGTTCAGTTACATAAAACAGAGAAGACAGGGAATCTTCATATTAAGGATATTTGTACAAGCAAATATTCAAAAATTCCAAATAACTGCTAGTCTCTAACCCATAGCAGTGAGGAAAAGACAAGAGGCAGAGATGGAGGTACCAGAGATGAGGATGTTGAGGTTCTCTGTAGGAGGGACCAGGATGGACAGGATTAGGAATGAGCACATCAGAGGGACAGCTCAGGTCGGCTGAATGAATGAGAGCACATATAAAATAAAAGTAGTTACTGACCATTAATAAACATTTAAATTGACCTTAAATCTGCCTACAATGATCATGTGTATGTACCGTATCCGTGAATAGTGTGGAAAACGTGCTGCCGATTATCCTGTTCTTCATTTTATATTGATCCAGTTTTCATACTTTGACGTGCTGGTGCTCTAGCTTGGCACTGAGCAACAGGGTCAACAGTTAGAAACATGCCACCTGGAGTATTTAATAGTAGTGTTAACTAGACTCTGTAGCAACTTTTCCTCTGATTCCAGTCAGTGCATGTCTGTTTGTGTCCAATCTATCAGGGTGAATGATCATGAGTCCTGTGCTTCTCTGCTGCTGGAGGCCATGGGTTCAGACATCGCTGGCTGCAGGGACTCTAAGGGCAGGTAGGACGTGCATGTGTGTGCAGGTGTGTTTATTCCGCAGCACTGTCAAAGCTCTGGCCTGTCTTCAGTGTTCATGTCCCTCTCTCCTGCAGGACTCCTCTTCATGCTGCAGCATTCGCAGGCCACGTCGACTGCGTCCAGCTGCTCCTTTCCCATGATGTACCTGTTGATGCTGTAGACCAGTTGGGGCGAACCGCACTGATGATGGCAGCCGGGAAGGGCAGGGTCGGAGCTCTCGGTACAGACAGGCTTCAATGCTGCACTGTGTCGATGTTGTTTTATGACATTTAGCTCTGGCTCTGTGTCACTGATTTTCTGTCTTGCCCTCCAGAGGTGCTGTTGACTGGCTCCAGCCTCAGTCTCACGGACAGAGATGGCAACACCACCCTGCACCTTGCTTGCAGTAATGTAGGTATCCACCCTCCATCTTATTTCTTCATTTTAAAAGATAATGCTAATGCTTGTCTATTGTTGTTGTGCACAAATCCCACCAGAGACTAACAGCATTGAATGTGGTGTAGTCACTATTAAAGAAACCCCAGTGCGCCACACCTCTGCACTGGGCCACAGGAAATGTGAGGCCTGTCTCTGCATTGTTATGTGACCTCCAGAATCTGACTGAGTGATGATGACACTGAGGTCAGGCCTCGAATCAGATCCACTCAGCTGGTACGTCACTATAACCTGATGTCTTCATCTTACAGGGAAAGGAAGAGTGTGTGCTGTTGATCCTGGAGAAGCTGTCGGACAGTGCGCTCATAAATGCCACAAATGCAGCGCTGCAAACGTGAGTATGTCAAACCTGTGTCCCTACCAAAAGAAGGCTTTGTAGAAGCTGAACAGGAGGGGGGGGGGGGGGGTGAGTACAGAAACAGCACGATGACACTTCTTGATGTTTCTTTATAAACCTTCTCTCCTCGTCTGTCACTCAGTCCTCTCCACTTGGCGGCTCGTAGCGGTCTGAAGCAGGCGGTCCAGCAACTGCTGTCCCGAGGAGCCAACGTTCAGACGGTGGATGACCACGGTAGGTTGACCCGGGTCCAGTCCCTTAGGCTCTAGCTGCACGTCACCGTCTCTGGTCAGCATGAATGTTTTCCTCTGTTCCAGCATGAACTCAAATTTGTGTGATTTTCCATGTGTGCTGCAAATGTCTGTCTTTAACAGGGGTTCCCACTGGCCATAAAGCTGGGTTGTCTCATCCCCATTTGTAATACCTTTTATTTGGTAATGGCAGTAGAGAGATGACAGGACGTGATGAGGAGCAACATGCCACAAGCGTCTCCAGCTATTATATTTTAGCAGAGTGTGGTAACTGCCGTTGGGTAAAAACTATTCCAGAATGTAGCGTTCCTTGATTTGATTGCTCTGAACCGTCTACCTGACGGCAGCAGTTCAAAGAGTGAATGTCCAGGGTGTGAAGTGTCCTTAATGATGTTCTGGGCTTTTTTGAGGCAGCGGGAACTGTGTAGTTCTTCCAGAGTGAGGAGAGGGCAGTCGATGATCTCCTGGGCCGTATTAATGACCCCCCTGGAGCATTTACCTCTGAGCCACTGTGCTGCTGCTGTACCATACACATATACAGTATGTAAGGAAGTACAGTCTCTGCCGGGCCTTTTTAAGCAGTCCAGAGGTATTCACACCCCAGGTCAGATCCTCCTCAATATGGACTCCCAGGAAGCGGAAGGCCACCACCCTCTCCACACGGTCCCCACTGATATACAGTGGCCAGATGTCGGTTTTCTTCCTCCTGAAGTTGATTGAACTGTGCTATGCTAGCAGCGGCTAACATAGCCTCCACACAGCTCACTCTCCTATGTATTGTGATAGTACCCCCCCCAGCCTTTTTGCCTCCAGGTGACAGTGGGAACCCTCATTTCAACTGTTTCTCTGCTCTGTGTTTTCGTGCTACAGGTCATTAGACATTTTAAAATCCAACTGAAATGAAAATGTTTTTTTGCCAACAACAGACACATCTGCTCTGTAAATCACTAGTCTCCTGTTTTACTTTGAGAAAAAAAAAACACACTGAAACAGAAGGGAGAGCTTTATGTTTTGGCCTTTCATGATGGCGGCCCCTAGTTCTGCATTAGTTTGAGAGGATACAGTTGCTGGTATCTGTCTACGTAGGTGAAGGCCTTATTGAAAACACGACGATACTGATGTTGAGATCTGGTGGTGTGTCAGCCAAAGACACTCCGCAAGTTTCTATTCACAGCTTTTGCTGAAATGTGATTTCAGTTGGACTTTAAGTCAGTGTGTGTTAAGCTGTAACAGACTGTGTGGTGGTCGCTCTGTGTGCTCCGTGTATCCCCCCCACCCCCCGTCAGCTGGCTGGACACTAATGGAATGCTGCTCCGTCCCTCCCTCTGTCTCCTGTTCCTGTTCCTGCTTCGTCTTCCCCGCCTCGTCCACGTCTTCTCCTCCTCTCCCTTTTTTCTCTCTGTCTCAGGTCTGACCCCTGCTCTGGCTTGTGCTCCTAGCAGAGAGGTGGCTGACTGTCTGGCTCTCATTTTGGCTACCATGATGCCTTTCTGCTCCCCTTGCAGCTCCGGGGCTCCCTCCCCAGGCTCCCTGCTGAGGCAGCTGCCCCACCAGGGGGGTAAAGGCCCGGGGAACGGCCCTCGGGGGCCACACAGCCCCAGGAACCCCTCCGGGCCCTCCAACGCGGGAAAAAAAAACAGAAGGGCAGAGACCTGGCAGTGACTCGGCCTGGAGCGTGTTCAATATGAACTTATAAATACACAAATAATCACATGAATAACCAAAAAACTACAAGTACCAAAGTACCAAAATGAAGCAATAATGTGTAGTTTTATAGGACATCATTACGTGTCTGTAACTTCTCATTTATTTTACTTGAATAAACTTTAAAGTTTGGATTTTTTCAGTAATTTCACAAACGGTATATTTCAGAGGAGCAGAAGTAATCAGATCCTTTAAAAGTACTGATACCACACTGTATACAGTAAATATACAACGTAATGTTCTCAATTAGAAAAGTTCTTTAAGTATAATCAGGAAAACAAAGTATAACTTCATGCAAAAACATGTCCCTTGACTGATCTGTTATTATTATTATTATTGTTGAAATATATAATATGTAAAAATCATTTAACTTTAGTCTAATAATCTTTTCCTCTTTTGGATTAATCAAATCTTTTTCTTGATTAACTGGTTCAGAAATCTTCACCCAACCTGAAACATTCACACTGCAGGTTTTGTCCAAACTAACTCAGTGAAATACATTGGAATAAATTTAACGATGATTAAAGTAGATGTTGGGTAGTTTATAACAAAACATATTTTAAATTATATCTTAACTAAACTTCACTATTTCTCTCTGAACTGTAGTGGAGAGATATAGCATGAAAATACACAAGTAGAGTACCTCAGATTCGTACTAGAGTAAATGTACTGTGTTACGTTCCACCACCGGCTTTTAGACAAGTTATTCATGTGATTATTGAGTAGTTTAGTATTGAGCGCTCTGGTTTCCATGCTTCCTGTGACCTCAGCCCTGAGGCCCTGAGGCACTGAGGCACTTGGCCACAAAACAAATACTGATCAGCTGCTCTGGACGGACTGCTGCAGCCGAACCAGTTGCTCCATGAAGCAGAATGATCTGGTCCAGTTCTGGTTTGGGTCTGCATGATTGTGTTAACTCACACCACGGTTTGTTCTTTCTACTCACTGGTGCTTAAATCCAAACCGACCTCGGTACTTAGTCTCTGCACAGCACAGCAAGTCGCTGCAGAGGCTCGTCTTATCTTTAAAACAAGCCATTTTTAACTGTTTGTACAAACTGAAGTCAACAGATCAGTGAGCTAAGTGTAGTTTTAACATTTGTATCATTTTGGCCTGTTTTTGTCTCCAACACATGAACAAAAAGGTACGCAGAGATTATTTTTAACTGTTGACAACTGAAGCACCGATTAGAATTTCGCTGTGTGGTTTTGATGAATTCTGGCTGGAATGTGAACTGTACAGCCATTTAGTAGTTTAAATAGCAGGATAGAGGATACAACACACTGGGTACATCTCGATCGCTTTATCTGCTGCCACGTTTCTCTGACAAGCAGCAGACTGAGGAACATGGCTGTGCGAGCAGGGCAGACATCTTGACAACTGTCTGACAGGTTGTCATCAGCGTTTCAAGAGACACAGGCTGCTTCTCACATCTCTTATATGATAATTCCTCGGCCCTTGACGAATGAGGATGTCCCAAGTCTCTTATATCTGCTCCGAGGATCGAGGAGGCTGCTGGAGGAGCCATGAGCACAAGCGCATCCTTCCTGGAAGTCTCTTTATGAAAAGCCAGTTAGTGACTGGACACTTCAGATGAAGGATCAGAGGAAAGGATGTCTCATGTCTCCATAAGAGCTGTGATCAGAGGCAGATTTCCTTGATGTGCGGTTTTCTCACATATCAATAATCATTTTTGAAGCAATATTCTGTCAAGCAACCCTTGTAAATCAAAGACAGAATATCACGGAGCGAAAAAGCTGCATTATTCTTCACCGACGGGAACACGTGACCGATTATGACGCAGCTTGCTGGAAAGTTGCAACATTGTTACTAAAACCTGCACCTGTGATCTGGTATTCAGTATATATTTCACCTCAGACACACAAAGGTTGAATGGATCTGAGGTCGACCAGGCCATCGTAATTGTTCCTCTGCCTTTTCAAGTACTGTGGGAGCAGCCACCACTGCTCAAATTGTCCCACAGACATACTGAAGGAGGTCCAGAAACCACCATGGTACAGTTTCAAGCCCTGCACTGAGGTTCATTTTTTCCCCCGGTGTAGGTTGCACCCAAATATTCTTTTATTATTCTTCTGTATTTACCAGAACCAGCACCAGGTCTTTGTCGCTTGATGTTTTTAGAACCTCACATTTCATTTTCACACAGCGGTTGGTGCACTAACTGTATATAAAGGTTTGGTACGTTTAAAATCACCTCTGAAAAATTCATACTGTTTATTCGTGCCGCTCTAGGTGTGAAAAGGAAATGACACAAGTGAGGGAAATGAAAAGTAAACCCATATAAGAGACTTGGGAAGCAGCCATGTACGTATACACATAGCCAGGTTCTTAATTGCATTTTTCAAGTGTTTTACATAGAAATTAATTGGAAGTGAGTGTCGGTCTGACTTTGCCTTTAAGCATAGGCTACTTTGGTTCTCCCCTGAGAAATGTGGGTGAGGAACCATCAGATAAGGGAACTGGGATGTATCCACCCATGAACTTCTGAGATTATGCATTTTTTCCAGGCACTGTTTGCATCCCCACCTGTTGATGTGCATTGTTGCACACTTTGTAGACCAGGGTAGCCACCGGTGTCAAAGTGACGCCTCCCCCCCGACCCTCGCAGCTCTAAATGTCTAAACCTAGATTCTCCAGTAAAACCACAGTCCTGCGAGGATGAAAAGCTTTTAGACCTCATTTAATTCTGGTATTTATTAAGTTCCATGATGGTACAAATACTGCCAGCACTTAAATGTACAGTAACCCAGGGCCATGACCACTGACCCCCCCACCTCGGTTTCGTCTACCTACCAGCTATGTGCCATTGTCTGAAATGTGTCCAGTGCCTTGATGTTAACTGATCTTTCTTTTGCGACATATCCTGTTGGTACATTCTACTAATTTTAAAGGTTCAGTCCACCAAAATAACAAATGCTTAAGAAAATACGACCCTAGTGGCATCGAGCCGTGCAGGTTTGTCCAGGTTCTGAGATACAGTATTTGCCTCAGACTTCTTCTTCTAGTTTTGGTGCTTTTTTTTTGCCTTTAGCTGGAAGAAAACAGGGAGGCCATGCAACAAAGGTACACTGGGGGTTATGCTGCACATCTAAGCCCCCTGATGCTCGACACCTGCAGCATCACTGTCCTCTAATCAGTGATCAAAAGCTCCAGGACAGCTACTAAACGGACTTCAAGGTGACAGTGTTTCGTCAGTGATATGGCTATTCAGGAGAATTATTTTGGAACTGTCACCTTGATTTATTCTTTTTTGTATTTACTAGAACTGAAACATTTAATCAATCGATAGGAAATTAATCAGAATACATTAATCAAACTGTATTCATTGAGTCATTTTCTTAAAGCCAAACTACACTGGCTCCTGCTCCTCTGATCTGAATTATTTGCTTCTGTGATGTTACCACTACTTGTCTTTTAAGTTTTGGGCTGCTGGTCAGACAACACAAGATTTTAATGTCAATTTAGATTTGGGAGATTTATTTCTGCAATTTTTGATTCATTGCCAAACGGCTTAATTTATAAGAAAAAACCTTTTCCTTTCTTCTTTCACCCCAATGAACTCTGTCGAGCGTTCATACTGATCAGGGTCCAAACATATTGATCAATCATGGCCATCTCAGAACCTGAACTATCTGCATATGTAGCTGCCACTAGAAACCAGAAGTGTTTGAAAACCTGGGGGAACTGAGTCTTTAATACGTGGAGCACGAGTCTCGATGTTCCACTGGGAGACAGTGGGAGAGGAGGTTGCTCTGCGTGAGGGACCACTGTGCAGATGTTTGTAGTGAAACTGTCTCACTCCACTGTTTCCTGTTCTGCTGAGAGTTGGTGATATTCTGTATTTCTGTTGAACAAAAATACCAAGAAGATCAAAACCAGCAACGAGTTACTCTCTCTTAAAAACGGGTCACAGAGATTTTGCTAGATTTTTAACAAAGGCTAAATTATTTCCTAAAACAAACATTACTCCCATTTTTGGTGACCGTTTCAGTTCCAGATTTGGTCCTTGAGTAAGGATTTATGGCAGCGGGACTGTAAGTGGAATTGATTTTTAACTAAACTACCGTGCCCGTATTCACTGCAGCAGCGTGGCTCATGTATGTGCTTTTAATAGTTTGTGGATGACAATGGAGCTCAGTGGCTCAGAGGGAGATAATCATGCTTTCAACATTTTTTATTAGACTCAATTCAAAGTGGGTTTTGGTCATTTAATTGATTTTCATGAGAATATATATAATATCACCTGCCTTCTGTAGGTCGCGTGGTGTGAGTGTGTGTGTGTTAGCTTAGGTACTGATAAGAAATTGAACTGCTTTTGTCTATAACGTTGATGCAAAGCTTTGTATGAAAACAAATCCCCATCAGAGAGTGATGTCTGCTTCTGACACGGCTGAACACAAAACATGTTTAAGTCACATTTTCAGAAAGAACTAAAGGTCAGAGTGTTTATTTGTCTTATGGTATGTATGCTAATGTATTGATTTTACCGTGAGAACCCTGAAGGCTGCAGCCGGGTTCAAACGCCTGATAAGCACACGTTAACAAGCACAGTCTTTTCTGGCCTCTTCTGTCCCTGCTGAGAGACTGACACTATTATTGTTATTCCACCAGGACATGAGCTTCACCAGTGCTGACAATCGATGACTGTCACACCAGTTCCTGATGCAGTACGACATGCTGAGGGCTGTTTGTCAGCTGTTGTTTTATATAAACTGTACAACTATAAAAATCTGTTTGAAGTTACTCCGGTGCAGGTGCCTCTTAATTCTCCACGCTGTAAGAAAATCCCTTCTTTGGCCTTGGTATTGTTTTCAAAATGTACACAGTTTAATTACTGACTGCAGTGTTTTAACTGAGAAAAATAAATTATTTAGGATGTTTTTAAAATCCAACCATGGCAAAAACACTAGTTAACTGTAGTTTATCTGCAACTAATTCAAGTATTTCTCTCCATTTTAAAATCAGAATCAGCTCTATTGGCCAGGTGTGACGGACACACGAGGAATTTGACTCTGGTACATCGGCTCTCACTGTGCAAACAGTAGACCAGCATAAGGCTGAGTAGTATAACAAAATAGCAGTATTAACAACATCAAAACGACAAATTGTGCAGTTTTAATGGCGTCTACTGGGGTATCAACTAACTTTGACCCTACTGATTCCTCCGTCTGCTATTTTGCAGTCATCTGATCAGCATTCAAACTGAACAGCGGTGTAAAATCCAGATATTCACCTTGTTAAACAGAAACTCTGCAGTAATTGTTCTGGTAGTGAAGTTGTGAACACAACACTAACATTGTTGCTTGTTTACACTTTTGTAATAAAGTTGTTGCAGGTTTAAGATATTTTTTCTTTTGGGATTAATCAGTTGTATAAGACATGAAAACTGAAAACCAACCTCTGAGGTGACATTTTCAGTTTGCTCACATTGTCAGTCCTTAACCCCAAAATATTCAGTTTTCACTCATTATAAAAACAACAAATATTCAAATTCCTGAAACTCGAAAGAGCAAATATTTGTAGTTTTGCTCCGTCACTGCTTTAAATGATTAATCGATAAGTGTTACGTATAGAAGTATTTCACGCATGTATTTTGAAAGGCTCTTTGTATCACGTCATTTGATCATTTCTGCCTCAGTAACAACAGACGAAAGCTTAAAGAAATCAGTGTTCATATTTTAATAGTTACACAATCTCTGTACATTAACAAACTATAAATTATATGAGTTAGCTTGTTTACCAAACTATAACCACAGCACTGAATGTTTTCAGCAGGTCCTCCTGGAACATTTGAACTCATGGCACCAATAAAATAAACCCTCAGTGAAACACGTCTGGACCCAGAGGGAGATCAACTGTCAGTTTTAATAACACTAATGTGTCCCCAGTGATAAAACCTGATTTAAATCTCAGTAACGCTGCAGTTGCAACCTGGAATGATACTGTGCTGTGTTCTGGTCAGGCTTCAGTCCACACAGCAACACCCACTGTGCTTCATTCTCTGTCCAGGACACCGATTCTTGTGCGTCGACGGTTCAAGAGGGAGCCCCTTTGTTTCTGTTTTGTGTTTGCATCCACTGCTCAGCAGTTGATGCCCAGGCCGGTCCAGTGGTCAGGTACCATCAGGAAGTATTTGTCCATGGCCTCGCAGAAACGAGCTCTGTACAGCTCCGGAGAGACCACGGTGGGCATCTTACCTGGAGAAGCAACACACCAGTGTTAGAGCTGGATCCTGTAACAGCATGTACACACTACTGAGCATCACAGCAGAGCTGATACCACTAGTATGTGTCTGCTCCTTATATAGGGGCAATCAGAAACTGCTAAAAGGTTTATAACTTGCATTTTGTACTTTGAACTGGAGCCTGGATGATAGAAACCAGTATCCACATTTGAGATTTTAGAAGCCTGACCCAAAGCTCGGTACTAAACCTTTTTATCCAGTTATCAACTATTTATCTGTGCATTTATAACTGGGATGTTTTGCGAACCAAATCAGTCTAGTCCAACAGTCCTGTGATTAAACCCTCCTTCATGAAGGTGATAATGTTCAGCTGTTTGCAAAAATGGCTGGAAACTGGTCCGATGGCGAGGTCAGACACTGAGGTAACCAAGTGTGTTGTAGCAAACAAACTCTGGTCTCATACATTATACGCATGTGCTGTCGAGCCTTGTGTATGAGATGCATCTATGGTTTTGTTTCTGAAACTGTCTTGGCCTGTCTGAATGAAGCCTCAAGCCAGACACATCTCAGTGACGACCTGACAAAGCCAGTGAGTTTATGTAGTAGTGTCATGTATTCAATGTCTGAAAGGGGCTTTATAAACAGGACGAGGACTGACCTTGACCTCCCAGTATTCCAGTGGATTTGACCACCATTTCCAGTTTCTTGTCCCAGGTAAATGTCCGGATATAATCTGCAGAACAAAGCAGAGGTAAACACTTTGTGCAGACGGCAGAAGGAATATCAGATGTCACATGTATAGTTTGTGAAGTGGAGGCTGTTGTAGCGATTGTTCTCACCAAGTGTGAACATTAAAAGCAACATTCACAGAAAACAAAATCACTGCTGTTAAGATAAAAGCACACTTCAGACGTTTCTCCTCTCACCTATAATACCAACTACCAGCTGATCAGTGGTGTCATCCCGCCCCACTAGTAGGGAGTAGTCAATGATGAGGTGGCTGGAGAGGAAATAGGCGTCGCTGTGGATGGCGGCACGCAGGATGGCCTTACAGTGGGAGCGGATGTACAACGGGTTGTCGTGGATCAGCTTCAGCAGGTTCTCATCCAGTAGCACCACCTCGCAGCTCTCCTTCCCCGAGTCCGTCTTCACGTTGCGGTTCCTCAGTGAACCTTTGAGGTCAAAGACCTGCAGAGGAGACGTCACAGCTGAGGATGCTACAAGGAACTTGTTCACTTTGTAACTGTTTACAATGGTCCTAAAACTACACAGTACATGTTGTGATTGTTTTGTGGTTTTGGAAAAAGGTACTAAGATTTTTTGAGGACTAGCTCAAACATGCTCTACCCACAGATGCATCTGTCATGTCACTTTAATGCTTTAATAAAGCAGCCTGGTTTATTGCAACTCAGTGCATGAGCCCAAAATGGACCGGAGTGGGTTCCAATTATAATAGAGATGGATAATCCAAAGCAAACCTGCTGTAACCAAAATGCGGCAGAATGTTGTGACATACAGTACTTGAAATGTTTTTATATTAAAACCCGAATAACAATAAAATATGTCTTTCAAACTGGCAAAGAAAAAAAAGACAATCTGCAATTAAAGCTACAGACCTGAAATAAAGATAATAAAAGCACTGTTCCACACAAATCTCATCAATCATGATATCTGAATATCGGCCTCTCACACACGGCTGTGTTTTCTAAAGCATACTACAGAACTAAGCAGCAAAAAAGGGGCTTCTTCTTTCTGATTCCAGTTATAAATTTGCCAATATGTGAATGCATGTTACTGAGTTTCTGGTACAGCAGCTTGTGTTTAGCCATCATGAAACTGGAGAAGTTGGGCTTTTTTATCATAGTAATAGCACTGTGTCGGGGAGCCCAACCTGAGCCATCTTGCGTCCATAGAAGAGATTTTCCATTACGAGCAGGTCCAGTTTCTTCTCCGTGTTGTTCTGGGAGTTCTTGTATCCAATCCGGTAAACACCCAGGATCTTTGCCAGCGCTGTCGGCCTCTGTGGTGCAAAAGTGTCTGTTGTTACCTTAAACTCAGAGTGAACACCAGATAGAAACCATTTCTTTATGATGCCTACTTTCTGCTGCACAGCTCCGGTGATGTAGGTGAAGTAGTGAGGCGCAAAGTCCAGAAAAGACTGGACCTCCAGCCGGGGCATCTGCTTCAGGATGAGCCGGTCGTCTGACAGGACACAGCAGACGAGAAGATTCACGTTAACATGAGGAAGGTTTAGGTTCAGTAGGGCTGAAGCTAATAATTATTTCATTATTGATTCATCTGCCTGTTCTTCACCAACCAACAGCTCAAAACTCAAAGATAGTGAGACATTTAATTTACAATCAGACAAAAGTGGAGAAAAGGAAAATATTCACATTTAAGAGTCAGGAAGCAGCAAAAGTTTGATGTTGAAATTCATTTTATCTGCTAATTCATTTTCTGTTTGTCCTCTAATCAATGAACTGACCAATCATTTCACCCGTATCATTCAGTAGGAACCAGTGGACTTGGAGCTAGCTCCCACAGACAGCTTAAAGAAGCTGAGTAGAGTATTGAGAGGCAGATGTACACCCTTTGTTTTCCTCTTTGTATGCAATTTGTTGGGAGGAACAAAAGAGAAGAACACTAGCTTTATGTTTTAAACTATGCAACACAACTGTTAAGCTGAAGGCTTGAAGTAATATTTTACCGAATGAGCTGTTCCCTGTGTTTGGTACAGAAAGCAGCAGAAGCGATGCGTACCTTCTGTGGCGTAGAACACAGCTCCGGACTTCCCACCACGAGCCTGCCAATTGACACAGCGGGACAGCGAGCGGACGAAATCCTCCTCGGAGCTCTCCATGATCTCCTCACGCAGCTTGTGAAACTCCTCAGCGTAATAGATCCGACAGTAAAACCTGGCGCTGGCGTCAGAGAACTCTACAGATACAGCAACAGACGAGTGAAAGGTTAGCGAGGCTGTGATGCACTTACACTGAAGAGATGTGCGTCATAACCTTCAGCGATACGTTTAACTAAATTCACTGACAATGTCCATACTGGCCTTGTAAGCCTGAATTCACCATTTTAACTGCACTGACCTGGTTGGTGCCCAAAGTTTAGCTCATCATATCTAGTGTTTCATTTGTTCTATTTATTAAGTTCATGAAATAAAAAAATAACAGTGCTTTTGATTGTATTTACTTCTGTGGTTTTCTCCATATGTTTCATTTACTCCACGAGTTCTTCAGGAGTTTCCTCCTTTTGCTTTGCTGTAAGTTGTTCTTCTTCACAACAGTCTTCCAAAGTTTATTGTTTATTACAAATGTGACAGACGCCATGAATGTTGCTAAGATTTTAGAGACAAACACAGAGTAGCTTCACTTGAAGCGACTAAAAATGTCGTATGCTGATTTAAATTCTTTACACTCTATGAATTCTGTAAATACAGTTAATCCTTTTTGAAGAACTTTTTTTTTGATATTTTCCAACATTATTTCTTCATGTTGATGAACTTTGAAGACATTTGACTGTATTCCAGATTTTAGAAGTACATATTTTCAGTTTTGCTGATTTAAATAGTTTGTTTCTTTCATACTAAAAGATTCACCTGATACATATCTGGCCTGTGTTTTTCCCAGAAGTTATTTCAGTTACATTCGAGTCAAACCTCTGAGGGGAAACTGTAAAAGATGACAAAACACTCACGCAGCTCAATGTGTGGATTCACGGTTTGTTTCTTCTGTTTGTCTGCCAGGTCTGCGTCCTCTGCACAAAAGAGAGATAAAAGTGAAGCATGTCACCTCATGTTTAACACCTCAGTAGATGGAGGAGTCAGCTGACCAAGCGGAGCCCAACACTTACTGAGGGGATCGGCCTCCACGCTGTTGCGGCTCTGCTGGGATGAGGCTGACTCGCTTGGCCGGGCAGGGCTGCTCTTAGCCCGACACTCCCCACTACTGAGGAGAAAATGCAAAGACATAAAAAATATTTACATGAATCCAAGTCATTTCACTTTACCACAGGAGGTTTATGCATTTCAGCTGGTCTATATATGTTTTTGAAGTTAAACTCCGGGTGCTTGATGCAGAGTTCCCTCTGAAACGCTGAAAAAATTTTAATGACCAAAAACATTTGAATCCTTCTTGATTTGTTTGTATTTTTTTCACCTCATTTCCTGTTAAAACAACTAAGGACACTATCTAACAAATGGTGACATATATTCTGGTATATTTATTTGATTGACCTATTCACACTACTCCCAAGAGGTCTGCTACAGTGACGTACAATCTTTTAAGTTGTCTACACATCCAGTGGTTACAGAGCAACATGATCATTCATGTGTCTGTGTCCACTTGATGAATCTCAGTCCAGTGTTCCCTCTGTTTTTTCTCTGTGTTTGGTCTCCACCTCCTCCTAAGGGAAACCTCTGACTCTGTAGCTGCTAAATGCTCCACTGTGTTCACCAGCTGGTCTCTGACTGTGTCTGTCTGCTGTTTGTTGCTGAGCAGGTCGTGGACACTGGCTGTTTTCTTCTGCTTCCTGCTGCAGCTGAAAACAACACTATGAGCAGTGAGAGTGACTCACATGGTGAACCAAAACTCTACAAAGCTTTGTAAAGCCGAGGGGAGCTGCAGAGTCAGGTGACAGTCCTCTGTAGGTTCACAACTACTGGACTTTCACACAAGTTTCAGTGTCATTTGAGACATAAGCTTGCACCCTGGAGTCCAGATATTTCATGCCCAGTGGGAATCCTGCGTACCTGACAACCTGCTGAGTCTCATCCCCGGCTCCACTGAACGCCTTGGACAGATCATCCAGTGCTGTCTTATACTCCTTGCAACTGGAAGGCAAATAGGTGACACAACATCATGTTTTAGAAAATGGGATGTTTGTAATGGCCCAATTCTGAGCAGAGACTGAGAGACAATGCAGATGGTCACCTGAGAGCAAAGGCTATAATGGAGCTTGGTTCTTTCTCACACACTGCAATGGGCACCCGCTCATGTTCATACATCAGGTAGTGCTTGTCTGGGTCACTATCAACACACATCACACCGCCGTCATGGACAAAGAGCAGAAGTCTGTAGTACTTGTGCGTACAGGTCATGATTGTCATTTTTGGCATCACAGTATCATTAGTATAAAGAGAACTTATATACAGTCTATGGCCCAGAGTGAGCACAATACTTACAACGGGAAGGGGATGGGGTTGTAGCTGTTGCCAGGGAGGAAGTTGGCGAGGATTGCTTTCATGGTGGATTTCTCCTTCACCTGGCTGTCAGTGGAACCCAGCAAGTGTCCGTCAAAGACATCTGAAATCAAGCAAACACAGAATTCATAATGCAGAACAAAAATTGCAGAGCGAAGCTACAAACGCTGTGTGTGTACATACCTTCTGGGAGGCTGATCGAGTCTTGCTCAGTGAAGGAGGGACCAGGTGTGATCGGTTCAGCTCCAGGTTCTCCTGGGGATGGCAGCAGGGAGGACGACACTGAAGACATTGTGCTGAGGTGGCGGTCCTCTGTCGAAGAAAACGCATCAACTCATCATCTACAGTTGGCAGCAAAATCCGCCTGATTCAGAAGCAAGAAACCAGGTTGGATTCTGAGGCAGGGAACTCACCTTTCTCACCGTTCTGAACCACAGGGGAGGGGTTCCGAGGGGAGGACTCCACGGCACTCTGTGAATTAAATGAGTAAATAAAAATAAGTTTGATAATAATCACACTAAATGAAGCCTAAGTGATCTCCACACCATTAAATGTAGTATGAACATGAGCACTTAGTAACTGGATAGGGCTGGAAATAACAGCTACTTCCCTTGATAATTCATCTGCTTATTATTTTGATTATCTGTTTAGTTTATAAAACAAAACTATAACCTACAACCCAAAGGGAGTCTATCAAATGACCAACGGTCCAAAACCCAAATACTAGATTTTCTACAACCCCAGATGAGGAAACATAGCAAATCCTCAAACCCGGTGACAGTGACGTCCACATACTTTATATGCATCAAGTCAGTAATCAGACTTCTAACATTCTCAACCTTAGTTTAGCTGATTTAATTTCAAAGAAACACAGTGATGAGTATTAATCTGAAAACATCTAAAGTGCAGATGGCGGTGTGAGTATGTAAATAGCATCATCATGCAAAACAAGAAAAGGCTGGAGTTGAACTGTGACATTGTGGCTACTCTCACTCTAGGTGTTCATTTTCAATTTTATTGCTATGTTAAACTCTCTCTTCTTTCATCTTGCCTCTCTTCTATCACACTGATGATTCTTCTGTCTGTCCTGCACATCTGTATACGTAGGTAACCCGCAGAGTAGAAACCCAGTATACGTGGCACAGACATCGGTTTTCTCCAGTCCTCTTCTCCATTTACAGAAACCAGGTTCCTTGTTTACATGGTGTTTGAAGAGGAAAAAAAGTTGACAGTGACCAAGGTGCTACTGACCTTGGTGTCGTCAGTGGTGGTCTGTCGGTGTCTGCCCGGGCTTGGCGGGACAGACAGACGCTTTCTGCCTTTCTCCTGCTGGAACAAGTCCTGCAGTCTAAGGGGGAGGCAAACAAGAGAAAGAATGAAAATAAAAACCAAGAGAAACTTAAAAGGCACTTAGAATATATTCAAGTTTTTTTTCTGCTGTTTGTCTCTAAATATGTTTTTTATTGCAACACAAAACAACACATTTACAGGACAAAGGGCATAACATAGAAAATGACAACAGACATTAACAAAAGAGACAAAGGGATCATTAAATTAAGTTGTGTGTGAATAAATATTTAATGTTGCCAGTGTGAAGTCTTGAGCTGCAGAATCCCAGGCGTCTTCAGAGAGCGGCAATATGGTGGATTTATTCCAGTTCATTGTGTAGTTGTAAATCCTGGAGAATGTGTTAATAATGGAAAAAAAATTCTCGCAGCAAAATGTAGGGGTCCTGTAAATATAATAATAATAAACCATCTGCATAAAGACTAATTTCATGTTGTGAGTTAGTGTCTTGTATTCCTTTGGTGCTATTATTCTGTCCTACTGCCGCTGCTTGACGTTCAATGAAAATGGTGAATAGACATGGGGTTACCCCATTGGTGGTTTTTGGAGTGCTAGGTGATGTATATGGTGTTTTAATCCAGTGGATGAAAGACTCTCCAAAACCAAACCTTCGTAGTGTGCTGAAGAGAAATAACCAGTTAACACTGTCGAATGCATTTTCTGCATCTAATGATGCAACTATGGTATTGGTTTGTTTTTGTTGCACAAGACTGATTAAGTTAAACAGTCTACGGGTGTTATCTGAAGCGCATCTAGTTTTAATGAAGCCTGTTTGGTCTGGGTGGATTATTATTGGAGTAACTGTGTCTATTCTAGTAGCTAGTGCTTTGGCGATAATTTTTAAATCTGTTAATAAGTGGAAGGGAAGTTTTAAAAATAATAATCAACAATCCCCCCCCCCCCCAAATAAGACCTGCAGAGATTCTTACCTGCCATTCCAGGACTGTAACATCTCACACAGACTCTGTTTCTTCATCACCAGTGACTCGAGAACAGACTGCAGCTGCTGAGGAGAATCTACACCACAGGCCTGCAGTCGAGCTTGAAGCTTTTCGATCCAGTTTCGCAGCTCGGCCTCTTCCATCTACACACACACACACACACACACACACACACACCACTATGAGCTGAACACTACCACCATACCCAGAGATTAAAGCTACTGATGGGGGGGGGACAGACCCTACATCTTTCTGAGCGAAGAGGTCTTCCATTTTTTCCTCTCGCGTCTTACTGAAGGTGTCGGTCTTAAGGGAGGTGAGGCGGTCATCAATTGCCAAGTACACCTGAGTCACTCTGAGGAGAGAGCGGACAAGTGGATGTGGTCAGGTGAAGAAACAGAGCAGTGAATGAAGATGCTTTAATCGTACCACACCGTTTACGCTACACTTTCTGCTTGAGCATTGGGACTGTGTTAAACTATCAATGGGCTCAGAAGAAAATAATTCTTAACATGGAAGGATTTTAAATCTCTTCTTAAGATGACATTCTACTGATTTTTAAGGCACTGCAGTTCTTCACCACCGTGTCTCAACTGCTGTATTTACCTCTCTTCTTTTCTTTTCAATGTTAGTTCTTGCATCAGGTTACTAATCTTGACTCATTTTGGCAATGCCACTCCATCTCTTTGTACAACACTGTAGTCCAGAGAAAGTTCAGCCAATTTTATTTATGTATTCAGCCAAAAATTCCATATGTGCAACAACTAGTTGATTAATCAATTAGTCGACTAGTCAAATTAATCAGTGAATATTTGAATAAAAGCTTAATTATTCAAGCCATTTTTCAGCACTAAGTTTCCGCTTTATATCATTACAAAATGCACACAGTTGGGTTTTGGATTGTTGGCGAACACATCTGAAGGCCTGCTCTAGAACATGCTTCATTATTTTCTGACCTTTTGCAAATCAAACAATTGAGAAAATAGCCAACTTTTAGTTGCAGCCTACATGCAACTGGCACAAAGGTCTTTGCAGCCTGTACATGCTCTATCATTAGATAAAACAACTACAGGCTGATTAAATTTGCTGTGGATACTTAAGTCTCAGAGAATGATTTCTGATGAAATGATGAGCCCTGCACACCTCTCTATGGCAAAAGTTTCCAACTGTAGGCAACAAACGTCTAAAGCTACTGGACATATTTCCTGTACACACTGATGCTCCACAGAAAATGAACCAGTCTGAACACTTATACATGAATGCAGACTGATGTCAGTGGCATTGATGTACTTTTGAGAGAAGTCCTTCAGGTCCTGCTGCAAGTTGCTTTTGGAAGGCCCCGGGTTCCTGATCAGGATCTTGGGACGAGGAAGACAAATCTCCAATAGTCGTACTGCAGTATAGCTGAAAAGAAAACAGGAAACCGTTGTTACTTTAGTTACTGCCACTTGGAAACCATTGTGATTGTTTTATTTATTTTTTGATACTGTTGTTTATCATTGTTGTGTGGACCCCAGAAAGATTGGTGACCACTATGTGGGAACTAATGGGGATCCAAGGGAAGAACAGAGAACGATAGGAAAACCCAAAGTTGGGAAAAGTGGTGATTTTAGCTGTAGCCATTGTAGAAATTTCAAACTGAATGGACACAGTGAATACATGGATGGATGATGTGAATTCATATTTCTCTACACATGATTAGAGAGCTAATGATGCAACCAGCAAAAGTGTTTTCTCCATATAAATTATTTATGGTGTCAATTTAAAATCCCAGGCATCATTACATTTCATCTAGTCAAATCCAGTGGTAGCCAAATGGAGGACAGACCAACCTGAAGGAGGCCACCATCTGGTTGTATGAGAAGTACTGGTGGTAGTCTTTGTGGATGGAGTGCCCACAGGGCTCTGCATTAGCCCGTCTAGTGTACTGGTGACCGTAGAAGCGAAGCTCCAGGTATTTGGCAAAAGACATTGACCACGAGTCGTTGGACAGAGGCACCACTGGCGTCACCTTAAAAAAAGAGGCAGAGCTTCAGAACAGGTCAAACACACAATTCAAAGCAAAGGTTTTGTACACAACTTCAGTCAGAGGAATGAAATGTAAAGAAAGCAACATTATCATTCATATCGAGTCTTGTTTGTGTCGACTTCATGAATCTCAGTCCAGTGTTCCCTCTGTTTTAGCTCTATGTTTGGTCTCCACCTTCTCCTGAGGGAAATCTCTTCGCCTGCTAAATGCTCCACTGTGTTCACCAGCTGGTCTCTGATGGGGCCTGTGTGTTGTTTGATGCTGAGCAGGTCATGGACACTGGCTGTTTAGAGCGTCTTGTCTGAAAACAGCTGCTTCCTGCTGTGGCCAAAAATTATCTTATGAATGGTGAGATTTCCAGACCAGACAGTTAAACTTGGGCTGAAATTCACCACTCGCTTGTTTTTTTGCTCAGATATTTGTGATTGGAGTTTTAATATTTTAATAGTTTTTTTAGTATTTCTTGGAGCTTTTTTATACCTTTATCAGAATATGAAGAGAGGGATTAAAGGAAATGAAGGTGGGGAAAGAGGAGGAGGTAAGGTCCCCTTAAACATCTGTTATTATTAAGTTATACTATATTTTATTTAGTTAGAGCTGTGATAAGACAACAGTTAACAAAAGGAATACTTAGGAAATGAAAATGAAAAGCTCTGTGGGTTCTTAGCAAAGCATTGAAGTTTATATATAATAAAGTAAGAACTGAAAATACATGTTTGGTATCAGTACTGAGGCTGTTTATGTGAATTATTACTGACCTGTTTGCAAATGCGACACCAGGAGTAGTTGAGTATTGTGTGCTGATATCCTGGCACAGGGGAGTCCAGCTCCTTCAAAACAATCTGCACACAGCCGCTGCCATGCACAAACCGACGGACATGGTGCACCATTGGAGTTTCACAGAACATATTGGGGCATTGGTACGACAGCCTGGAGAAAACATGTACAAGCACACACACAAACACATTTTTAAAAAACAGTCGAGACTGAAACCAACCACTTAGGGTCAAAGAAATTCTCTTTATCTACAATATTTACTTATTAAACTCATTTTAAAAAGTCCATTAATATTTTGAGTCTGACTTCAGGTTGCATTTTTTGCTAAGCAAAACTCTGTAGCTTCTGTTTTGTATTTGGGTGTTTCTCTAATTATGAATTTCTCATTAAAGAATGCCTCTGATTTTTCATCTGTCATATTATTAATTTTTACTTGATCATTTTCTTATACAAAGATGTGTGTGACACTTCTACTTTTATCTGACACTGAAACCGTTTTTATACTTGGAAATGATCTAATTTAAATTTATTGTCTTACCTGAAACAGTATCTCTCCAAGAACACGCCGAGAGAGAGGTCGTTTTTGCCGTAGAACTCCATCGTGACAATCCTGGAACAGCAAAGTCAGTAACGACAATAAATTAATTAAAAACAAGGTATGAGATTTTGTTATCAATTCACTCCTTCTGAATAGTTTACCACGGGATGACACAGGGGTTGGGCGCATTGTTGGACTGAGCTGATGAACTGCTGAAGAGTACACACAGTCTCTGATGGTTGGCTGTGTTCAGGCAGTCCAGCTGGGGACAACAACAAACACAAACAGATATTTTTCTCCACAGTTTTGGTAAATTTAGGTGAAACATTTCTGCATCTGTTATTTTGTCAGTGCTTCACTGGTTTGAGAAGTGGCTCAGTTGCAAAAAGGCAAAGCAGCAACATTTGTATGGTTGTCTCCTTGTGCTTGACCACCAAACCTTAAGTTAATCAACTAATTGTTTCATTGCTGCTCACCTTAGGGGCCCAGCTCACATCATTCAGTTTACTTGGCTTCTCCTCTTCACTGTCAGCCTTCACTGGTGCTTTGACCAGCGCCTCCCCCATCCTACTCTGGCCACTGACTGGAGCTGCAATGCTGAAGGGGTCAGTGGATTCCCTCTGCCGGATCCGACCTCCCTTTGCTCTGTAGTCAGCCAGCATCTTAGCTAGATCCTGGCTGCTGTTCAGCTGCTCTACAATGCGTGTACTGATAAGACTGTGGCAAGGCAGGACATCAGTGGGCTTCTGTGGTGCACCACCATTGGTCTGAACTCCAACCAGGGAGGATGGGGCTGAGTCTTTAAGAAGCTGTCGCTTTCTGCGCCCGTCCAGTTCCTTGAAGTCCTTGTTTAGAAGAGGGGATAGGTAGACCTGTGGTACCGGAAAAACATGGAAGAACACGGCATAAATAAAGAAAAAAAACACTGCTTGTACAACACAGTCTAGAAGTGCAGCTATTAGTTGATCGATCAATTGTAATCTGTAATTATTTTAATAATCAATTAATCTTTTTGCTTTGTAAACTGAAAGTTTTTGTGGCCTGGAGTGTTGGTCAACAAAAGACGACTCGGAGAAAGCGAGACATTTTTACCTTCTTCTGATATTTTAAGTTACCGGTTTTAATAAATTCATTTTGAAAATACAATTACTAGATATTTAATGCTACTTGTCCTACATGTCCAAAAAGTATTTTACACTACTGCTACTCTACACTGACTGTAAACACTCAACTATGCACACAAACACAAAAAGCACGTTCAGATTACTCCACTCCTGAAATAACCTTGCTTGTGAATCAAACCACTCACCCTGTTTAAGACAAAAATTATTTGATTAATAAAGACAATAATTTGATTAACTGATAACCAAAACGATCGTCAGCTGCAGCTCTTATTCTGTCAGTTTAAAGTGAACTGATGTAGGAAGTTTGTCCCTGAACAACAAGGCTCTGTACCTGTTCAGGGAAGTAATCCCTGCTGGGGCAGTGCATTCCAGCAGGCGTGAGAAGGAATGGTTCTTTAAATGTGATGAAGGGAGAGATGCACAGGATGATGTCCTTCAGCTCCTGCTTGAAGACAGCAGAGATGGACTTCAGACAGTCATCCGATGAATCAACCTGCTCGGCCACAAACATTCCTGTGTCATCCTGCAGGGGGTCTCGAAACAGCCTGGGAGTAGACATCTCTGAACCTTCCCCATCCTCCATACACAGTGACTCCCCCATCACCAGGCCTCCCTCTTCCCCTGTCTCCCCCTCAGACACCCCGATAGCTGTGCCTACATGTGTCATTTCTGGGTCTTCTTCCATGAGGAATGGAGGAGAAACAGATAAAGGTGGTGCAGGTGGAGAGGAAAATGGTGTGGATGTCCCTGCCTCTGTGTTATCGGGCTCCTCTTGGGCAGAGGAGGGTGACTTCAGGTCCATTTTGTCTTCGAGGCTGTCTGGCTCTAAGGGAAGCCCTTCCTCCAAAGCCTGTCCTCTCAGTGCAGAGTCTTCAGTACCTATAATTGTTTCCTGGCTCTCTCCATCCATCTCCTTCCCTCTCCCCTCTCCATCTGCCTTTTCCACTGCAAAGTCACCCTCCAGCAGATAGGGGAAGGAGGTGCTTTGGGCCAAACTGGGAGGCATGGCAAACTCGTCCATGAGGAAAGAGATCTCCAGCTGGGAGTGGTAGGCCACACACATCATTAGCATGAGGATCTCCTTCACCCGGGCCAGCTCGTACTCTGAGGCACCCCGCAGCTTGATGGAGCACCCGAGATGAGGAGGACAGCCTTCAAAGAACATCAGAGTTTTCACCTCATCTGAAAGGACACACAAAATGTTAGGATTACCACAGCAGTATTTACTGAGAGTAGCAGCAGAGGGTGGAGATGCACTACTTACCATTGGCCAGGGTGAAGGGCTGCATGTAGAACTTGTGGCAGGTCCCCAGACGAGGTTTGGTGAGGAGCTGATCCATGGACATTACAAGGTCTCCCTGAGTCATACGACTCACCCTCTCCAAGACTTGCTACATTGACAAAAAAGACGAATATAATAAAGAACAGGCAAAGTTGGACAGAAGGCAAAAACGGTAGAGCTGAGAGAGAGAATCTACATGTTGAGTTGAAACCACAGCAGGTGAGAATGAACAAACAGGTACTGCACACTGCCAAAAACTAAATGGATTGTTTCTGACAGTAGGAATGTTCTTACTAATGCCACTGCACTCAGTTTGTCACAAACACCAAATTAAAAGATAGTAAAAGTGAATTTGCTGTTCTTGTCTGATCACACTGAAGATGATGTCAATATTTCAGAGTGAGGACAACTAGTGTGGTAAGATTTGAAAACTGGACTAAATGATGTTTAAAAGTGAGCTTTTTAAGTCAGGCTGTAACTTGTTTTAATAGCATTTCAATGAGATTGTCTTTGAATGTGCTTATGTACTTGTGCAGTATTTTGTTTAGGGGTGTACCCGACTAAGGATTTTGTCTGTCAGCTAGCTCTTTCTTTTTAATATATGTATATACTGTATAGCCTAGACTGTCAGAAAATCAACTGGCATTCATTTCAGTAATGATTTCGACCACATTATGATCGCAAAAGAGTGACAGGAACAGATTTCTGACCATTTAAAAATAACACGTTTAACAGTATGAGTGATGTAGTATGGCTGCTATACTGACCGGTTTGACGTTGATGACCAGGGTGATGCCGTGCTCCAACAGCATGTCCTGAGCAATACGTGACACCGTCTTCTCCACTAACACCAGGTTTGGACGGACATCCACTATGCGTTGCACGTAGTTCTTCAAAAACTCTCGTTCCTGGGGGAAGAGGCGAAGAAAATTAGGCAGTGGATGCAACTGTAAACCAGCCCCCCCCAAAAGCCATTTGTTTCTTGTACTATCAATTTTGTAGTTAGAGTGATTCACTGACCTGAAGCACAATGGGGTCGATGCAAGTAAACTTGGTCTCCTCCCTGTACAGATACTCTATGGAGCACTTCAGCAGAAGAATCTTGGGGTTCTTGATGTAGGGGTTCATCTGATTACAGGTCAGACAATCGGGTTCTTAGTGTTGCATCTCATCTTTCAACAGCTTAAGTAGGTTCCAGTTTAACAATACCAGTCTAAATGCTAACAGTGTTTGTCATTTAACAGCTCTGTGTTAGAGACTTTAAAAACAAGAGGGAACTGGACCTAGTTTAAGTTTTTTCCTGGACTTCAGACAGAGATTGGAAGATTTTAATCCAACACGTAGGATTTTTGGTACATAGAATGTGACCCTACCTTTTTATGGGCAATGTTCTTGGTGCATACAAAGCCGTTTACCACCATCGAGTCAAACTTCCTACCTCCAGGAATCTGAATAACAAATGCAGATTAAGTCATACTGCTGAAATAGCAATGAAATGAAGAATTTATTTCCATGGTGACTTATGGCCACGGTTTGACTGGTGTGATAAGATAGTGTCCGACCTTCTTGATGTGGACCAGTTGACGGATGTCCATGTCGTCATCGCAGTTGCGAACGTCGGGCCGTACTGTCTGGACCACCTGTTGAACTACAGGAACGATGATATCCCGCCATGACAGAGACAGAGATTCACTGTAGAGCAGCTGCTGCAGCAGCGCCATCATGTGGCTGTGGTTGGCCGAGCTGAACAAAGGGAGGCGGAGAAGCAGATTAAAAAAAAACAAACTAATTTTCTCATGAATTAAATGATCCCTAGTGTGCAGAAAAGACAGATCTCAAGTCACAGTCATATTGGACCTCTGGACACATTTACAGTACTATTTGTTAGTTTCTCTATGGAGATCAAATGTTATTTAAAGTGCTATCACACACCAAAGATCAACTTGTTCACAATTTACAATGCTTGAGTTATTTCATATTTGGCTTTGTCGTGTTTGTGTAACTGTCAGTAAATTCTAAATGAAGGTTAGTGCTGAAATCAATGACACAAGGTCCAAGTTCAAAAACTAAAAAAACAGTTAAAAAGAAAAGAAGAGGAAACAACAATAAAAAGAAAAACCGAATACAAGACATCTACCATAAACTACTGTCCCTTTAAAAGGCAGGTATACCAGTGTAAATCTCATGTCACTGTGTGCAACATTAGTCAACGATAAAATTATATTATTTTCAGAACAATTCAAGCAACAAATGAATTTATACATAAAGTTTCTTAAGACAGCGGAAAATGTACTGACCCGAGATGACACAAACAATTCACTAGCACTCATCCATCTAGGCCTTT